GTTAACTTGACCCTAGCTAGGAAGGACCTTCTGGGAAGAGAGAGTTTCAGTCTCTACCAGATAAACCTGTAAGCAAGCTGTGGGGCATTTTCTTGATTAATGATTGGTGTGAGCAGGCCTAGCCCACTGAGGGCGGGACCACCCCAGCAGGTCTTCCTGAGCTAGGAAGCAGGCTGAAAAAGTCAGGAAGAGCAAGCTAGTAAGCAGCAGTCCTCCATTTCCTCCGCTTCGGTTGCTTCTTGAGTTCTTGCCCTGGCTTGCCCTCATTTATGGACACTTAATTGGTAAGCCTCTTCTTTCTCTTCTTCCCCAGTGTGGTTTTTGGTGGTGTTTGATCACAGCAATAGAAAGAGAATTAGTACAAGAGCCCCACCCCCACCCCATCATTTCCAACTTACGTGGTTTTTTTTTTTTTTATTATTGAAAAGAATGATAGGTATTCTTGTGTGCTTGTGTCATCTCTGTCTCTTCATCGGCATTTCTATTGAGTAATTATGATGGTCACCTCACTGTGTGTTGGCTAAGCCTTCGTTGAAATGTTTTTTAATTCTCATCCAGTTTACTTATTTTTCTCTAATTAGATTATCAAATTCTTGAGTTCTAAGGACTTTAATACATGCCAGGTGTAATTTCTTTATCGTGTATATGAGTTGCAAACATTTTGTATCACTCTGCTGTTGGCTTTCTAGATAACTAATATTTTGGGGGGACTTTAATGAGGTTCAGTTGTTCAGTTCTTTGAATTTTGCTTCTATTGCTCTACACAAGGAATCTTTCGCTAACCTAAATTCTCCTGTTCCTTCTTCTAGAAGTTTCCTGCCTTTTGTTGCCTCGATCCATGGTCCAGATAATTAGTTTTATAGGTAGTAAACTAAAGGATAACACTTGTTTATTTACTCATGTATTCTTAGGCTTTTACGACCATTTACTAACAAGGTTGTGTTTCTCCCTTGAACTTCTACAGCATCTTAGTCAAATATAAACTGACATGGGGTCTGAGAGTTTTATTTTGGTGCTCCATCCACCTCCTGTTCGGTTTGTAGATCTTGCTTTGTGCCTGCACTACTATTGTGTTAGTTCTCACAATAGCGTTATAGTAACTTTGGGCATTTGGTGATTTTAACTCTTTTAACATTAACCCTTTTTTAAAGGTTTCTTTAATGTGTTCTAGTATCTGTGTGTGTGGTTTTGCGCACACAATCACAGGTGCCTGCAGAAGGGGGAAAATGCTGTTGACTTCTCTAGAGCAGTGGTTCTCAACCTTCCTTTAATACGGTTTCTCATGCCGTGGCAGCCCCCAGTTATAAATTTATTTTTATTGCTACTTCATAAATATAATTTTGCTACTGTTATGAATCATAATATAAACCTATGTTGTCTAGTGGTCTTAAGCAATCCCTGTAAAAGCGTCATTTGACCCACAATGGGGTCACGACCCAGAGGTTAGTACCATTGCTTTAATATGCTCCAGGCAGTTATGGGCTACCCAAGGAGGGACTCAAACCTAGGTCCTCTGCAATAGCAGCAAGTGCTTTTAACCACTGAGCAATTTCTCCAGCCCTCATCTTTATGTTGAAAAGGATTTTTGACATCCTTGCCTATTTAAACTTCCACGTATATTTTGGGACTCATGTCTCTAGTGAAAGAAAAAAAGTCATAATGGCATTTGCTAGGCCAATTTGGAAAGCCTGGGAAAAATTGTATTTAGTCTTACAGTCAACTGAATCTATACCATTAGAAGGACAATAGTATATATCTTCATTTCCCTGGATCTCTTTCATTTCTCTTAGCAGAGTTTAGTTGCTAAACACTGTTGGCTGTACACTAGTTTTTCACTTATTGTAAAGTTGTTTTTGTGTTCTTTTTTTTTTTTTTCCTTTTTGCTAGGGCTTAAGCAAATATATCCCATTTTTGCAATCACTTTATTCTTAGCAGGTAGGTGAGATGTAATTCTTTTGTTTTAGGTCTTGTCATTTATCAAATATTTTGGAAACTTTTTATTAATCTTCAAAGATATGTAGTAGATGTCATACAAGATCGCACTAGCTATCTTCACATTTATTTGTTGTGTTTTGCATCGAGTACATAACATCTTACTGTCTTAGGGAGCAAAGGCTGCAATCTCTTACCGTTCGTGTGACATTAACTGTGTAGACCTGCAAGGAGGGGTTGTTCTAACTCGAAACATAATGTAATACATATTAGTAATGAAAGAGAGGGCAAATCCTCAGGATGTCAAGAGCCACCATAAGAGCAGCTGACTGTGTCCAGCACAGGAGTCAGGAAAGCAATTGAACATCTCAAAGCCGAGGACAGACAGAAATTCGAGGGTGCTCCACTAATACCCCAACTGATAGTGAGTGCAAGTTTTCCTCTCAAAAATGTGTTTCCTACTGTCATCATTCAAAACACATCTGAAACACTGAGTCAATGGCTTCGTGTGAGACTAACATAAGAACTTCCTAAATATATATCTGTGAAAGTTGTTACTATATATTAACTTTTTTTTGTAATTATCTAGACGATTCCCAAGGTTTGGACGTTTTTCAAGTATAATGTTATCAGTGTTTGGTTTCTTGTTTTTGGTTTTTTTTTTTCTGTTATTTTTGTGTCTTTTTTTAGACAGGCCTCACTGCATAAGCCAGGCTGATCTTAAACTTACAGAAATCCCCCTGCTTCTGCACCCGAAGTGCTGACATAAAAGGCGCTCATGGACACCCCTGGCCAGGGTGTGATTTCTTCCTTAGCTTCCTTTAGCTTCGTGATGTGGGGTAGCTTAAATTCACTTTTCTCATGCATCAAATGCCGAAGATAATAGCTGCCTTGTGGGGTTCTTTTGAATCACGTGCTGGCAGGTTTAGCACTGTGCCACACTGTCTGTGGTGACTGCTGTGGGAATGTGAGCAGGGCTGCGCCGCGAAGGCTGCTTATGATTCCCGTCACCAGACACTCTACAAACCTCCACTTTTCCACTTACATCCTGCTAAATGTAAGTTTTCAGTGATACGTTTCTTCTCTTTGTGAGAAATAACATTTAACTATGGAAGAAGAGCATGATCTGATTGTGTTTAAGAATGTAGCAAAGATGGAATTTTAATCTACAATTCAAGCTGTATCTTCCTTAGTGCCGTCTCCAAGCAGAGGTGTTTTCTGAAGAACCCTACCCACACCTTACATTTAGCAGGATGTCAGCAGTTTCATATTCATTGTCAACCAAGTCAAGACCAACTTATATTGGGGCAAGTTTCCAAGACTAGGAATTAGGATGTAGAGAATCCCTAAGGTCTCTGTTGTATTCTAACAAATATAATTGCGAATGTTGTTGGTGTTACATTTGCATGTGAATAACTTCCTTCTATATATATCCAGGAAAAGTGCTTTTCCTCCCTTACTCCTCTAGGAGCTCCTGTCATCACTTATTGGCAAGGTCCGATTTGATTCCAGAATATAGAACTTGGGACCCTCTTCCATATCTGCTGTTCCCATGTAACCTCACTCTAAAGATTAACTATGCCCAAGTCTAATGAAGCGCTTTGTAACTGGGAAAGCATGCAGCTTAATGGTTGCTGTCGTTTTCTGCACTTTCCCCATCCCTCCCTATTTAATAGGTCACAGATGGAGGCAAGGTGTCAGCAGAGCCACCTCTGTGACCTGGGATACCTCTTAGATGCCTTTCTTTATACTTTCATACTAGGCAGGTACAATTTTTCATGGTTGTTATTTTCACCTTTCATTTGTTAGAAATATATGCTTGTTGAAGAAAACTACAAAATGTCAGCAGAAAGGAAAAAATAATTATGTCTGAATGCAGAAACGATGCCGTTATTTCGTATGCTTTTAATGCAAAAATATTTACGCTAAACATAGGGTTGTTTCATTATCATTCAATGTAGCTCAATTTCTTTATATAATTTCTTTGTATATGATACTGTATCTTATAGACTATCCCATGGTGTAATAGATTATTGTTTAACTATTGAGCTTTTGGGTTTGTTTTTTAGTTTCAACATACAGTAGCTCTTTCTAATTTTGCTGTCAGAAATAATGTATATTATAAACATATTTTTGCTAAATAATTAATATCCTTTTCATGTTCTTTGTTTTCTTGTAAAATAGGGCAACTCTTAGGCTTGGGCTTGCCACAATAAAGAGACATAAAATGTTTTGTGACATCTCAAGTCATAATGAGACCACCACTACAATTTAAGATACAGCTGTTTGAACACCCATCATTTGGTCTCTTCTTTCCCAAGAATCCCCATAGATCTATTTCTTGTCTAGAGTCAGTTAATTTACATTGTTAGGAGTGTATGCAAGTGGAATTACACTTCACCTGTTTGTTTTTATATAGTTTCTTGTACAAGGATAATTTCTGTGTTCATTATTGTTATATCAATGATACAGTTAGTAGTGCTGAGTATAGAGAAGCATGGACTTGCCACAGTCTTACCTCAGCTGGTCATTGTATTCTTTTTTCTTTTTTTTTCTTTTTCCTCCCAGTTTGAGGCTGTTAAAATCAAAGTTGGTCCGAGCATCCCTCTAATGTCTGTATGAATGAAAGACAGCTGATTTTTATTGTACTGAAAGGGTTAAATTGTTGTATTTTGAAACTGAAGAAATTTAATATAAGAAACTGCGGCTGTCTTCCTTATTTTTTTTTTTTTTGGAGATGTTTTAAGGGGTACATAGAATTATGAGGTGAGTCATAATAGATGAAGTTTTCAGAACACTAAAAAATTAGGAGTTAATGTAGGTTAACAGGTACTTCAGAGCAACAACACACATTTACCTAATAATTAGGTAAATGTATTATTTCAGTAGCAGGGAACTCTTACATTCCTTTAACAAGCTAATAGTCACAAACCATTTATCTGTCAAATGACTCCTACTTTGAATTTGAACAAGGGAAGATTATGAGATAAATGTATTGAATGTCACAAAATAATATTTCTAAATCCGGTTTGGAATAGCTGCCCAACTGTCCTTTTCCTGTTGGTAAGGTTGACTGAGGAGGACCAGAGAATCTGAAGACTCCAGTGACATCAGAGCCACTTTCAACAACCTTCTCAGCTTCCTTTTCCACATAGCCAAGGCTCAGGCTGGACAGAAGCGGTGAGAATCCTTCCTTTCCTTCCATTCTCTGGCTTCATCATTGTGGCTTTAATGTGTTTTAGACAGTTCTTTCTGGTAGCTTACAGCTACCAGATATATATTCTGTGTTTCATCTCTACGAATTATATCTTTAGGCAGTGTGGTTAAGAAAACACATAAGACCTAATCTAAAAAATTACAGTAAAGAATCAAATAAATGAAAGCAAACGGTGAAAGAGATAAAGTGCCATCAGAAGCCAAAAACCAAAATTCTTGTGAATAGAAACCAGTAGATTACTTCTGTAGAGATGGGTTGCAAAATGAAAATAATGTTTTGTGTCGATGATATTTAATTTTTTTTTACTCAAACCCATAGAAAATATAAAGTTGATATCTGAAATAGTAATCCTATTTCATGTAAAAAGTTAATTATTGTTTGGAGAAGACAGAAATGTTTAGTTTTTGTGGGTATGTCATTGCTTTTTGAGTTATATAACCTGGTTGCCTCCTACAAGGGATTTCTGAGAAATGATAACATATTTTGTTTGAGTTAACAAAAGAGATGAGTGAATGGTAAATTCCTGTTGAATTGGCATGACTGTTTTCCTAGTGTAAGTGCTGCCTTGGATCATGCACGATTTAGTCCTGGGATGTAGCAGCCTGTACAAGCTAGGAAAAAGCTACGTGATCCTTTATTGTACTTGCAAGTTCCCAGGAAGAGTTTGCTTTCAGCTAAAAAACTGGAAACTCTGGTCAGAAAAAGTAGCGACCTGCACCTTAAATTCACCCCATTTTAACTGAAATGATACTGGGAAGAAGGGGTGGTAATTTTGAGTCAACTTCTATTCAGGAAACCTAGCTGTGTGATTAGTGTAAATGTTTTCCTTAATGTTTTATTTTTTTCTTGTCATCTCACCAAGAAAAGCCTTAAAACATTGTTTTTAGAACAGCCTAAAATTAGTATTTTGGGGGCACTTGTTGTTTACATTGTTATACATTGTCCTCCTGTAAGTTAGAACTTGTATCAACTACACTTCTATTTATTAATGAGTTATTTCGTTGGTATACATTCTGTGTTCCCACCCTGAAATCTGTTTATTTAGATGGGGAAACCTTGAACTCCTTTCTCAGCTTGAGTTTTATTAAAATAAATACCAGAAGGTCGACCCCTCCCAGCTGTAACGAGTTTGTTGGTGTTTGCCCACACTTGTTTTACTGAGTTACCAGAAGTCACAATCACTTGGAGTTGAACAGGTGATACTGATGGGGAACAGATAAAAATACAGCCAATAGGAAGTTCTTAGAAACTCAGCACATTTAGCTGCTATGGTGGCCTATAATCCCATCACTGGAGGCTAAGACAGGGCAGTGTTGAATTGCAGGCCAGACTGTGTCACCTGGTAGTGGTGAGAGACACTTATCTCCAGAAAAGAAGTGGAGGAGGGGAAACTAGCAGTGTTGATTTTTCTTCTAAGTAAAATAAAATTATTTAGACCAGTGAACAACTTTGAAAATACAAAAATAAATCACTGATAATGGTTTTTTGTTTTTTTTTTAGATCTTTTGCATACACTTAACATGATTCAAGATTTTTAAGGTGAATATGTCTGGCTTTTTATTTTCTAAAATGTATTTATAGGGATTGGACTGTAGCATAGTTGACAGACCACATGCACAAAGGCCCTGGGTTCAATCCTAACCTGGTATAAAACCAGGTTTGGCGGCACAGGCATGTAAAAGCAGCACACGGGAGGTAGAGGCCAAACAATGAGTACAAAATCACCCTTGCTTACTTTCTTAGTAAGTTTCAAGCCAGACTGAACTACATGAGTCCCATTCAAAAATATGTATTTGATCACATGTTCATCAGAGCCATAGTCAAGGAAGCCTGGCTGGGCAGCATCATGCTTTCTAATATCTGTAGCAGGCAGTGGACTGTGTCATGCTAAGCAAGATGTGGCAGGCCTATGTTTGACAAGTTGAAGTTATATATTTTCCTTATCGTAGTTTACCATATAACCACAATAAAAAAAAAAAAAAACAAAAACACGCTGTTATACTTTTAAGAGTGGTAATGTCTCTTTGAATGAAGAAGAAGATCGAAGAAACAATTGGATTATTAAATATTGAGAACCATATAAAACATGGAACGCCTCGGAAGATTTTAATGTCAGTTTTTCTGTATTTGTTAGTTCAGTTCTTTCAAGAAATGTAGTCCTACTGTGTAGTAACTAACAAGTGAAATTTGCTCTTAATAGGTGAATTTTATAATATCCTGTACATTGAGCTTTTTCTCACTTTCTTTAATATTCATTAGTTTATTTTTATAAAAAATGATTAAGCAAAATGTGATTATCCTGGGTAGAATTGATAACTGACTAAGTCAATTTAGCTCAACTACCTGAACATAATAATTTTCCATAGAAGGAAATGCTTTCTGGGATATGCCTTTTCACTAGGAAAATTTTTATATAATGTATTTTTTTTCTAGTCTGATGAAATTGTGGAAGTCGTTCAGCAAGTGTTTTATGTATCTAGCTTTTTATGTCAGAGAAAAAGATTTGTATAAAGACATAAAAATGGCCAGAGGTTTATTTGGTTCAGTTAGATCAGGGTGCCAGGTTGCTAAGGTTAGTGACGAAAAAAAGTAGGTGGAAATATATACCTCAGCACCTAAGGATGTGCTCTTCTACACCTGAGCTCGATCTCCCAGACTTACATGGTAGAAGGAGAGAGCTCACGCTATCAAATTGTTCTCAAAGGTACAGTGGTGGCATGTGTTTGCCCACAAACACATTAAATAAGTAGAAAGATTAAAAACAGGAAAACCTGAAAGAATAATACTCCTTCCAATCCAGAGACCTCCAGTGCATGCCTGACATCATGTGTCATACAGAATTCCCAAGGTACAGTACACCATATTGTATGCACATACCTGGTATGAAGCTTAATTTAAAGCTAGCTATAGTAAGAGTTTAGCAATAATAACTAGCGATAAGACAGAATGTAGAAATAAGCTATAACAAACCCTTTGTGGAGCTGTCTTTGTTGTGAGATGCCTTACATTGTACTAACTGTGCTGGGCCAAGGTGACTTAAACCCCTTGGGTTAAGTAGAAATCCCTTGGCTAGGTAGAGCTGTGAGCAGCGCTTTTTGCTTAGTATACCACAGTCTGTGAAAGCATTTAAACTTCTGCCCTGTGGGCCTAGGAGCATGGTCCAGGCAAAGCCCTGATTAGTCAGTTTAATTGGAATTAATTGCCATAAGTCAAGTTGGCTACCACCAACCAGTTTGGCTGGCCCATTGGAGCCTCGCTGGCTATGGACAACCCTGGTAAGAAGATCTAGATAGATCTTGGCTCGAATGAAGTGTTGTTAATTTCCAACATTGCTTCCATCTACTTATAATTCCCTTCCTCACAGCCAGCCACCTTATTTCAAAGGCTTAGCCTTTACCCTTTACCAAGGTCCTTGCCCCAATATTTTAGCCACCAGATTTTCCCCAAACTCCAGTTTACTTGTGTTGTTGTTCTGGTCATATAATGAGTGAGCGACTCTTACAACTTAATTATCATAGGAAAATAACAAGCCTTTCTTAATTAATCCTGACTTATCATTACAGTGGGAAAAGCATAATTAACATCTCTTCTAAATTTGATATCTGTAAAGAGTGGCCTTTCCTTAACTCTTCTGAATAATTAACATGACTAACGTCATTTGGGAGGGAAATCCCTACTGTTCTAAACTTCCGGATGTGCTTGGAATTTTTGCTATTCTGTGATAGATTCAAGTGACGTAAATAAAACAATGAAAAACTCTGCTGAACCAACTGTGAGCCCACTTGCTTGCACAGACGATGGTCTATTTCCTTTGAGTGTCTCACTGGGTTTCTTGATTATTTGCACTCTTGGCTGTCCGGGCTTGGCATGTTTCTAGCAGTAGAGCTTTTTATTTTGGTAACACAATTTCCCCTTCTGGGATCAGATTTCACTCTCATTTTCAAACCCTGTTGATCCCTTTGTACACCCACACAGAAAGCTGGCTCATGGGGTGGCATGAGTATCCCCTGGTGAGAAAGCGTGCTCTCTGCATGTCTATCGACCACACCCCTCTTTGCCATCCTTAGCTGCCCTCCAAGCTGGCGCTTTTCAGTGTGTGCACAGTGAAGGCCTGGTTTCTCTTCTGTCTTCAGTCCATATCAGTAGTGTAGCAGCACTCACTCACTGTGGTCATGTCAGGGTAGAAGTGAAGCAAAAGACATATGGATCCTGTGTCCCAGTCTTTCCCCATACACAAGGATAAGGTAGCGTATTAGTTAGAAAGTTCCTGATTACTGGCAAATTCTGTTCTCTGAGGAGCTAACAGTGTTTCTAGACTGTGCTGTGTTATGAGCACCCTTCTCTTCCTTTCGTGACCTCATGGTCCTTTCACTCCCTAAAGTCTTTTGGTGTTGGCAGAACACTGGATTGTGCCTTAGGCCAGTTCACGTGCCTCCTCTGTAGACTGCTGCCTTTAGAAGCACTGCCCTGCTGTTTCTGCCTTAGTGCTTTCTTTCTTTTCTGTTCGTGTTTTTGTTTAACTCTGATCTCAGTGTGCTGGTGATTGGAAAGCTTGTAAAGCCAGTGCAGGCAGGTTTGTCATTGATTTTCCTTGTAGCCTCAGTTCTTACCACACAACAGCTCTTTATCAACGTTTGTGGGTGTTACTGATGGTATGGCAAATTCGAACTGATGCCAACTGCAAAGATGGGAAATGTTTCAAATCCTCTCATCTTCATTTAAAACAAACTTCCTTTTCTTCCTTCAACTGGATCTTGGGGACGTTTTTGACATGGAGGATATCTTTTCCCCCCTTTCTTCTTTCCTATTTCATTTTGTCTTCTGTAGTATGAGAGATTGAACCTATGTAAGGATTTGTGCATTGTAAGCAACTACTGAGCCACACCCCTAACTGAGAGCATTCTTTATTTGGCACAATTACAGTGGACAGCCTGGATGCTGGAAAACAAATATTTTGTTTGAA